TATTTGAAATTCCACGGACAATGCCGGGCACTTTTGCTAAATTCATAATTTCAGACCAAGCGCAGGTAAACGGAGGTAGTTACTAGTAGTAACCTGGGCAACGCAAGAGAGGGAACCCCCGGACGCCATGAGCCTCCGGTATGCAGACACAAGCCTCCCAGATTTGCTAGGCAGACCGAGCCTCAGCAATGCAGTAATGAGCATGCGCATTAAATCAAAATGTGCCTGTATAATACAGGAGGTTTTTTTAAATTTGTGTTTCAAATCTAAATAAAATATTTTTTACAAATTATTCAACATAGTGGCATGAGAATGACGGAAAAAATTAAAATTATAAATTTTATAATTATAAATTTTTGCAATTAAAATCAGCTAAGGCCCGGAGCAACTGACAACGCAACAATGACAACCATAAAAGTAACCAAGTAGAAAGAATTCATAAAAGAATTCATGTGGTCCTTGTTGAAAGCTCAGAAAGGGTGAATGATTGGGAAAAAAGACTACCCACTTTAATTAATGCATATAAAGCAACTCAAAATTATTCTACATTGTGCAGTCCTGCACGCTTATTTCAAGGAAGGGAGACAAACCTTACTCACCTTTCCTTGCTTGCAATATTCAGAGACAACGCCACACATCACCCCCAGCCACACCCCTTGGAGGAGGACTGGATCATCGACCTGATGCTAAGACAAGAGGCCAGGTCAAGTCTTATTCAAAACCATTTGATAAACTGAAGATAGATGGAACTGGTCTTCCTCCAATTGGTAACTCCCGAAAGCTTCAACTAAAATGGTCAGTATGGGCCTCTACAGATCACGGAAATAGTGAATCAAGCTCAAATGAAAATAAAGGAAATGAATGTTCTTAATTCTGGAGAGTATACTCCTCATATCAGCAAACTCAGACTCATGATAAAATTTGGAGAACCAGACTTGAATCCTATTTTTTTGCTACTAAGGCTGCCAAAGGAAGCTATGTTACAGTTGGAAGACAAGCTCTCCAAGATCAATTTACCTTGTAAAGTCAATCAAAGTTTGGTTGATGAATTCTACAAAGACATCAACACCATGGTAGCCAACACCAGGATGATTATTCATCAACTGGACTAATCAGAAGCAACACTGGAAGCAGAGACAGCAAGAAAAGTGTCTGCAACAAGACAGGATCAATCAGAAGAATCACTCTCAGAAATTTCAGATTTTCATCTAACAAAATTTCTTGAAGCACCAGACTCAAATACACCTTAGCAGAATCATTCGTCAAATTTTGTTAATTGTATATTCAGTGTCTTAATGCAAAGTTTATTACATGATCTATCAACCGGTGTTGGTCCCCCACTGTCATGTGTGGGTTGCACCTCAATATAATTGTCAGCACACAAAGTAAGTCTCATGTCCCTTCATCCAGCAACACTGTTTGGTTTAAAAATTACCATTCGTCAAAATTTGTTGAATGTCCCTTCAACATACTGCACAACTATGGAATTATTTGTTATATGATCATTCAGCTTTGAATCTTGACATGTCAAACGAGGTCGTTACAGGTGGCGCGACCTATTCTCTCAAAATTTGTTACAACTAGATTCAAGTTTGATGATACCTAAAAATCCGACAGTTATGTAAAATCTAAATTTTTTAATAAAATTTATTTGTTTTAAAACGTAAAAAATCGGCAAAAATGCAATTGATCAAAAAAAATTAAACATCTTTTAATCACATTTACATCTTTTAATCATGTTTATCACATTTTTTAATAATACAAATACATGAAATAAAAAAGTATGAATAGACAGAAAGAAAAGATCTAAATACAAATCTTTAAAGTAACATGCAGCATAAGTTTTGTTGTTCATAATACATTTATTACAATTCAAAGCTTAAAGGACAGGACTTCAATTGATCACCAATTTAGACAACATTTGATTCTTGTATAAAGTAGATTCTGCAGTCTGAATTATTGAAGATTTGGTTTTGCATTGATACATCTCTTTCAAGCAAAGCATTGAAAATGCAGCATAAGTTTTGAGAGAGTGTACAAGCGCTTGTAAATTTTAATTTTGTTCTTTCAGTTTCTCAGAGGTTTTCCTTTAAATCTATTTGATGTCTCCAAATTTCTGGATCAAATTGACGTAGATAGCAGCACAGCGGACTTACATACTAAACTGTTAATTCAGCTGATTCTCCCCAGCACTGATCCCCCCCCCCCCCTTCAAGCCAGTCATGCTGGCCAAGCCGGCCTGGCAGCTGGTTTAATGTTTGATTAATCATAAATCAAAATATCGGCTAATTACAATGAAAGAAAACTGTCACATGACAAAAGAAAGATGTCATATGAAAGAGTTTGACACATGCTGAGAGAACAATGTGTAAGCTATTAACAAGTTTTGTTAGATTGTAATTTTGGAAAATATTCAACAAAATTTGAGTAATGAAAGAAGAAATTTGAAATATGAAAGAAGAACTTAAATGCCTGATGCTAAAGACCAAAATTGCATTTTTTAGAGTGATGCACTGGACCAATCAGAAGCAAGACTGGAAGTAACGCCAGCAAGAGCTGCAACAGTACAGAGATGAGGAGTCAAACCTCTGTAGAAGACCACCAAGAAGAAGAGTCTGAAGACAATTATGACCTCTACCAGTCTTTTACAGATCAATTAATCAATCAATCACCCAATCAATCAAGCAACAGATCATCGGAGCACAGGAGCAATAGCAATTCAGAGAAAGATTTTTATAGTCATTTTAATGTTGATGAGATTGGAGAGGGAGAACTAACACAGATACTACAAGATGAGGACAAGACAATAACAGAGGATCAAGTGACCTCTGCAGCCTCACAAGAAAAAGAACAGAGTATTGAAACCAAAGATGCAAAAAGAATCAAGACCAGAATTAAGGATCCCAGATGAGACAACATTGTCAACAACAACAGGGTCATGACTCATGAAGCAGAAGATCAGGAAGAACAGCCAAGACAGAAGAAAAGCTTGATTCATCTCCTGGACCGAGGACACCGAGAACCAAGCCACTCAAGGAGTGCTCTAAACATTAATGAAATCAGGTTCCTCAATTGTGAAAACTATGACATCTGCTTTTAGTGAAGCATGGGAGAAAACTCCTCAGCCAATGGGCCCTCCTTCAACAAAGAGAAGGAGGATATCAAGGGAGTGCAAAGCATCAACCAGAACCAGAGAAGCATCTCTGGAAAAGATCGAATGGACAGGGAGTATCAAAATTAAGAAGTCATTAGTTGACAAAAAGTTGGGATTTACAGTAGAAAGTAAGTCAAGAAGTAGGTCACAAAATAGGTCAGGAAGTAGACCACTAAACAGGGCTGGAAGTAGAGACAGATGGGAGAGATGGACTGAAAATGAAGACAACATTGAAAAAGGAAAAAAGGGGGATTCATGCCATTAGGGAGAAAAAAGTTTTAATCGCAAAAGTCAAAAATTCTATAATACTCCCTGCAAGGCATGGAAAGTGGATACCAATTAGTGTTTACAATTTAAATAAAAATAAAAATCATTGAACGCAACCTTGTAGTATCCAAATTCTCACCCCAGGCAGGATTATTATCTATGAATATGTATAACAATAATTACAATACTGTGCAGGTCAGAAAGGGCAAGACATTGGCAAAACTGGTGAACCTGGAGATGCGAGGCAGAGACAAGGCAGAGGACAAAGCAGGAGGACGTACAAAAGAGCAGGAACTTGAACACTTCCTCTAATGTTGCTTTGTCTAGTGGCAGCGATGGCAGTTCCAACCCCACCAACATCAAGGTTCATGATGTCAACATGACCAAGAAGAACGTGGAGAAAGACAAAAAGTGAAAATATTGAAAAAAGTTAATACTGAAAAACTCAACAGTTATAAATGCAAAGTTAGATCCCATAGAAAACTATACTATTGCGGGATGTTCTTGTATTTAAAGCCATTTTCACTGACCAAAAAAGAAGAAACATTTGTGATTAGCACACAAACATGCAGGGACATGGCCAGTACCAAAACTTGTGTGACACCCAAAACCTGGAAAAGTGATTCCCTCATAGTACCAGGACAGTCCTACATCATGGAATTTGAGGTTGGGTTCCAAAAAACCTTGAGTTCCTCTATCCAGAGTCAGGGGATGGATGTGTTGCTGGAAGGATCCATACAGAAAGGGATCGTCCAGCACACAGAGTATGTAGTGACTGTGGAAGAGGAAATATTTATGAAGAACCATGAACATGTGATAGCAAGATCCTCATCAGAGAAATTGAGGTGTAACCCTCATGGTCCTAGTTTGGGATGTGTAGGAACTCTCCATACCTATGCTTGGAAACCACCTAAAACTTCCTGCCTCTTCTGCGAAGTAAGGGAACTGGAAGGAGTATATTCTACCTGGTTTTTTGAAGTGGAGGACGATCAAATCTATTATTAGCTAGAAGGTTTTCAGACTCTACCTTTGGAATGTGGAGGACACCAAGTCTATCCCACATAACCAACTGACGTCGACTTGACGTCAGGGCGACGTCGTCTTTGGTCGGGCCGACGTTGGGGTGACGTCGATCTGAAGTCGATTTAAAGTCGTTTAGACGTCGCCTTGACGCAAAACGCACCGTTTTCGACCTTGTAGCGACGTTACCTTGACGTCTCAGCAACCTCTTTTTGGCCAACCAAACCTATACTGGCGTCGTCCCCCGTCTATAACCGACCTGCTACGACCTTCCACGACAAACTGTCAACCTACTACAACCTCCGACTACCTACACAGCGACCTCTCTACAACCAAACAAAGCTATAACTGGCGTCGTCCTACGTCTATGACTGACCTGCTACGACCTTCCATGACCTACCGTCAACCTACAACTTCCTCTCGACCTACTACAGCTTTCTTTTGACCTAATACAATTTCCTTTGGACAAACTTTCTTTCAACCAACTAATAAAAGTACAAACCATATACCCATCAATCAATTGCAACTATAAACAACCCTTCAGTTAAAAAAAATGTTGTTGCTTTAAAATATTTTATATTAAAATAACTTAAATGATTAGAAACAAACGTAATTCAAACACAAATTAAAACTCGATATAAATTATTTTTCACTTTGTTTTTTTTGTTACAGAATCTTGCTTCTATGAGTCTATTGAGATTTAATATCTTTTGAAGATTTCTTTTCTAATCACTGCACACATTCATCGATTCAGCCTGCTTATACAAAGTCTCTTCAATAGGTGTTAACTTAGGTACTTCAGAAGAATTAGCAAAATTCTCATAGATTTTTGCTTGAGAGCGTAAGACCTCTAGATCAGTGTGAACACTGAACAACAGTATTATTCATAGACGGCAATGTTATCTGAACTTCATTCTGTATTCTGACTCCAAATTTCCCAGTTCTATCTGAAATTAAAAATCGATGAAAAAATAGAAAAGAAAAAGAAAAGACGGATGAAAGAAAAGAAAGAAAAATATTTGGAAGAGGAAAGAAGAACTGAACCACTTAACTTTTTCGAAAAAATTTTGAAAACGTAGTTTTATTAAATAACAAACAATTTTATTGAACAAAGTATTTTACTGAACAAGCAATTTTAATGAAAGCGCGACGTTCAGTTTAACAACTAACAATAAATTGTGAAAACATATTGATTTAATTTTTATGGATTGATTTAGAAGATTAACAAAATGGCTTGTTCATGAATGATGAACGAACAATATTACAAGTTGAACAACCCCATCTCTATCTATAACTGATATATTCATCAAAAAAGACTTTTAAAGGGACTGTACAAGTAAATTCAAGTGACCCTTTATCTGATCAATAATGTGGAATATTGTTATTTTCAAGTTAAAAGTTGAATTCACACAATTTCCCAGTACTGCAAGTCACTTTAAGAGAGAAACCACAATTGAAAATAATCAATTTTCAAAGAGGATTTAATTAAAAGAGTCGCTTGAAATTATGCCTACATTCCCTTTAAATAAATAAAAAAATATTTCAAGCCAAGTTTATTTTGAAATTCACGAAAAGAAGCAAATGCATTCCACCATTTAAAATTTTTAAATTAAAGAAATTTTCCAAGAAATTTAGCAATTTAAGAAAATCTTTGCAGTATGAAGTTTTCCAAGAAATTAGTCCACCATTTTAATTAAAAGAAAATAACGTTCGCTATTTTTAATATTTCTAGATATAAATCTGCCATATTTTAATTGAAAAATTTCAGCTGACCTGGAAAGGTATTAGAGGAATCTCTCGATCTCCGGCCCTGGTGACCTTCAGCTAGTCCTCCTCAGACAACTCATGATCCACACACAGGATAGCGATCATGTCCTGGAGACTTGTAGTCCTGAAGAATATTCTCAACTTCTTGAGCAACTCCGTAGTGTTTCGTGTCCATGCATACATTCGGGTAGATTCCTCTCTCAAAACATCTGAACAATAATTATTTTAAAATCAAAATTTAAACGTGTTTTCCAGGTTGTTTTTCTTCCCTTACAATTAGTAAAGTTTAGACACTTGCAGATAGGGATGTTAACGTTTTCATTTTTTGAAAATTGATCGTTTCGTTATGAAAACGACGACGAAAAATCGAAAATAAAATTATAAAAATTTGTCGTTTAGTTAACGATTGTTAACGACGAACCTTCGTTAACGATCGTTAACGACAACCCTTCGTTAACGATCGTTTACGACGACCCCTCCGTTAACAATCGTTAAAGAAGAGAGGAAACCTACCTGAAGGGCATCTGTACTTATCATTGCAGAGTAGTTTTTAAGAAAATATCAAGAAGTTTAAACTTCCCTACAACTGTTAAACTTCATGTAAGACGACATTCAATAAAGTTGCATGTAATTTTTTTCCAAAAACTACCGTTTTTATAAAGTTCGTCATTTCGTTTACGATCGTTAACGACAACCCTTCTTTAACGATCTTTAACTACTACCCTTCATTAACGATCGCTAGCAATGATCCTTCGTTAACGATTGATAACGTAATTGTCAATGAAATTTTTTTTCAAAAAGAATTGTTTTTTAAAAACAATTGAATAAAATACAGTCGCAATTCGTTTTAATAAAACGATCGTTTATAAAAACGATTAACAACCCTACTTGCAGAAGATATAAGCAAAAAACAACATGAAAACGAACCTTAACCAATTGTTTTTATCATTTTATGTTTTTTTATTGTTTAAACTTTAAAGATTAAGAATTTTAATCTTATTTAATTGTTTAGGATTAAGATATTTGGGGTCCATCTTAAATTTCAAATTTGAAATAATAGTTTAAAATGTCATTCTGGTCCCGACCTCATATAACCTAAATTTACTGAAGAATGACTTTGCAAAATGATGCGACCTAAAATGACCTAACCTGACCAAAAATGACCTTATATATTAAGGTCGTTTAAGGTCGGCTAAGGTCATCCTACCTAACTCGACCTAAAATGACCTTAATCAACGTCGCCAAAGGTCATTTAAGGTTGGTTAAGGTCATCCGACCTAATTCAGACCTAAACCAACCTAGATTTAAGGTCGGTTTAGGTCGGTGGTTTGCGGGGATATTGCAAATGTCCAGTGTCCACATTTCATGAAATTGATCCACTGCTTAAATCTGCCAAAAACCGGTTTCAATCGAGAGCCAGCTTAAATCTTGAAAAAATGCAACACAATTTAAAGTGGAATCAACCATATTTCAGCTGCGGCTCAAAATCTTTAAATTCAGCTTAGGATATATATTTACTAAAAATGGTGGAGAATACAGTTGTCAAACATCATCCTTTAAGCCCTGACTAGCTGAGTAATGCTGCCGAGTTAAAGTCCCTAGTACTGTTCCTCCAATACAAGCTCGAGCTCAGAGATGGACGGAGGAATGATCTCAGAGTGCTGGATGGATGGTAGAATGAACATGATGCTGATAACCTCCTCAAAATAGGCCCAGAGCTTAGGTCAATCCCTCCGCCATGGTCAGAGCCTAAGAATGCTCTGAATCTCACTCATCACCACATAGCAGGGCTCCGTTGCTAGATGGAGCATGTAGCCAGCAGTATTGTGCATGCAGTCTGTAGAAATGAGAAAGGTTGTGATTTAAACCCACTGCCTGGAACTCCATCCTACTCGTTGACTAAGCTGGAGCAAGAAGCACAAGACTATATGGACGGATGGCAGTTCTTCTTTAAGAAAGTTTGTGAACGTGTTTGGAATGTGATCAGTATTCATGCAGTGTGTGGAGGATGCATAGCTGACAACACAATAGGGTTATTGGACCATTTTCTCATGAAGAGGGCATTATCTGCCTGCTGCAAGTCTCTTCTCCCCTTCAGAGAGCAAGTTCTCTGCTGAAATGCTTATTGCACTTATGGGGGATTTAAGCTACAGGTCAGATGTGCAAGCAGCTTCCACCGCACAAAGAAAGGTGGAATTTGTTACACCAAGGGCATGAAAGAATCAGAGGATGATCTGGAGCTTTGAGCTCCACTGAAATACTAATGAAAGCGGCCATGATGAAGATTTTATTATCAAATGATAAATGATGATAGAATCAGGAGTGGATGTGAACCCAACCAGGGTTCATCCCTATGTACATAATCTCATGTTCATTGCTCCCAGTTGGAAATATGATGCACATAACAAATGCAATCTAAGAATAAAGCCAAATAATCTAGATCCAGTCCAAAAGGGTATTGAACTCTTGGTATATTGCAGCCTATATTAAATAGATTGGGGAAATTAGCAGCTGGGGAAATTGCTGTTGGGGAAGTTGTGACTGGGGAAATTGTGTTGGGGAAGTTGTACTAGCTGGGGATCTAACCTAACACCGTGTAGGGAGACAAGGGTATTGAACCCTAGAGATACCACCTGTTGGCCGCAGCGTGCAAGGATCAATGCTGGAGAAAGGAGTAACAGTGCAGAAGAACAAGCGTATTGAACCCTCTTTCTTATCTAGAGGACGGCATTTATTGTGCCGGCAGAGAAAGCAGATTGTTGGGGATCTTAGCCCCTAAGTTCCATTGGTGAGTCAGTTAGCACAAAGTATCTGGTTAGAAGAGTCAAATGAAAATATATTCGCCCCTGGCAAATGTCATGTATATTTAGATCAACTTAAGTTGGCCAAACAACAATCATTTGTATTGTTATAATGTAAATATATTGTGTCTGCAACCATGCTTTGATATTCCACTTGGCTTTTTAATACTAAATTTTTTTAAGTATATAATAGCTGGCCACCAGATGTCTCTGCTACCAATGCTTTGAATGATTACACGTGGCAGAGACACCTAGTGGAAAAAAGTTGTTTTAAGTGCATTGTATATAAATCAAATAACAAATATTAACTATATAAAAATAAATCGAAAAATACTTGATAACTTTCTGTAATTTGCAACTTTCTGAATTTGTAGCGTTCTTCAGTATAAGTCGTTTTTCTTCTTATAGACGCAAGAGATAGAAGTAAGATAAGTAGTGATGAAAAGCGATTATTTTTCACCAAAAGCCTATACCCCCTTTGGTTTTTTGCAAACCCTTTCTTTAATATTGAGATGTTTACTAGCATTATTTGATCATTTCCATTTCCAAGAGATATTTAACTGTTCAAAATTAATTTATAAACAAACTCATACAACTTAATAAAGTTTTGAAAGATTAAACATTTATAGTACGTAAATACTTTAAGAGAGAAAGTGGGAGAAAAATTAAATACCAAAATTGTCGTAAATGAAATAAGAATTTTTTTTGGTTTGAAAATAGTTTGTTCTTTCAGCTGCATATGCAGGGTTTCCTGTCCTTGTCTCCTCTCTTCATCTTTACAACTTCTTCCTAGAAATAAGAATATTTTTTATCTTTTGTTTGATTTGTTAAGTGTACATGACTTAATCTTTTTTATGCATCTAACACTTAGTCTCTATCCTGTACATAACTAGATCTATTAGTTTATGTACCTGCCAATTAGTCTCTATCCTGTAATGAAGAGATTTGGTTTATGTATCTAACTTTAAGTCCCTATCCTGTACATTACTATATCTAGTAGTTTGTGCACCTAACATTAAGTCTTTATCCTGTACGTAACTAGATCTAATAGTTTATGTACCTAACATTAAGTCTTTATCCTGTACATAACTAGATCTAATAGTTTATTTACCTGACATTTAGTCTCTTTCCTGTACAATACTATATCTAGTGGTTTATGTACCTGAAATTTAGTCTCTATCCTGTAACATAACAAAATCTAGTAGTTTGTGTACCTGACACTAAGTCTCTTTCTTCTATATGAAGAGGTCTAGTATCTTTTATGTAATTGACACTTAGTCTCTAGCATGTACACATTATGAGATCTAGTAGTTTATGTACTTGATATTTAGACCCCCAGTTCCCTCTACAGTCTGTTTCCCCAGGCAACTTTTGCAAGGCCTCCTTAAGGCAAACCTCAGTTTTATCATCAAGATCATATTTCACACACATATGTTATAAATTATAAGGTTAAGATGATGACTGATGCTGAGATGATAGCTGATGTTCAGGCTTTGGCTGATGCTGAGATAATGAATGATGGTGAGGAAATGGTTAATGCTGAAATGATGGCTGATGTTCAGATAATGCAGAAAAGATTGATTTGATGTCTGGTTTTAAAATATTGGCTGATCTAAGAATGATGGGTGATCCTAAGAAGAATGAAGATCCTGAGAATAATGGAGATTCTTAAAAGAATGGTGATCCTGAGAGGAGTTGTGTCCCTGAAATGAGTTTTAATCCTGGGCGATTCGTATTTCATGGATGATCCCAGATTGCTCCCAAACCATGCTGTAAATGAATATGATGATACTGAGGAAATAACAATTCCTTTCTCAGTTTTGGCGTTTCGCGGGGTCAGGGGTGTAGCTGGAGAGCTTACTAGTCGATCTTGTGTATCATGGATGGAGATGAACTCTGGGAATGGTAGAATATTTACGATCCTGGGTTCATGAGGTGTCCGGGTCTGATGAAACCTCCCATTTTGATGAGATCTCCTGGATTCATGAGATATCCTGGTCTGATGAGATCTCCTGGTTTGGTAAGATCTCCTGGTTTGGTGAGATCTCCTGGTGTGATGAGATCTCCTGGTCTGATTGAATCTCCGGTTTGATGGGATTCCCTGGCTTGATAAATCTATTGGTCTGATAAGATCCCTTGGGTTGATATTATTTCCTGGTCTCAGGAGATTTCCTGATTGTGAGATATCCTGGTTTGGTAAGATCTCCTGGTGTGATGAAATCTCCTGGTCTGATGGGATTCCCTGGTTTGATAAATCTATTGGTCTGATGAGATCCCTTGGGTTGATGAGATTTCCTTGTCTGAGGAGATTTCCTGATCGTGAGATATCCTGGTGTGATGAAATCTCCTGGTCTGATGGAATTCCCTGGGTTGATAAATCTTACCGGTCGGAGAAGATTACCATATCTGAAAAGATTTCCGAGCAGACTTCCTGGTTTGAATAAATTTCCTAGTCTGGGGAGATTCCTCGGTCTGAGGAGATTTCTTGGTATGAACAGTTTCCCGGGTCTGAGGGAATTTTCTAGTGTGAAGAGATTCCCTGGTTTAAAGAAACTTTCTTTTCTGAAAAGATTTCCTGATCTAAAGAAAGTTCCTGGTCTAAGCAGGTTTCTTAGGTATAGTGAGTTTCCTAGTATGAGGAGATTTCATGGTATGGGATCGGATTTCCTGGTCTCCTATATCTTATATACAGTGGGATGCATTGTTCTCTCTGATATCTAACACCTGATTTTACTAAATTTTTGGACAGAAACCACAACATTCATCGCTGCTGGGATTAAACTTTTATAAACAATGACCACCTACTTACTTGTGTCCTAAGAAATGGTTGAGATCGAGCAGATTACCAATAATTCTAACTAAAAATTTGGTAACGTGGAGATGGGGAGGGTTTTGAAAGTAGAAAACACAAAGTTCTCCGTACTCATCTCTGTAAAAGATAATAGATTTGAGCCAATTTTTTGGATTCTATTTTAAACACAAAGGACGTTCTAATGGTATCTCTGATGTAACCAGTAGATCCAAGTTTTATCATACAGAATGTACAACTGTTTTAGTATCCTGAAGACTGAAGACTAGGTCAAGAATGAGATGGATTGGTACCTGGTCCAGAGGATGTTGGTTCAGTCTGAGCTTTTAGATTTTCTCCGATGCCTCCAAGTGTCTGTAGGACTTAGTGTCCGTAGAGACATTTGGGAGTGCAGGAGTTTTACACTTTAATATCTGGAGCTCAGGATGTTATCGAAAATGGGTCCATAGATCTAACTTCTCTGGCGGTGTTAGCTGGGTATAACTCCATTCTATGAACATGACAGCTATGGGAGTTCAAGTGATGGGAACATTTCTAAACAAGATGGTTTCTACTTGAGGAGATGGGTTTCATGTTCAAGACTCCTCTGGAGGTGGAAACTCATTAGCTTTCTGGGTTATGTTAAGCCTGTTAAGGGTTCAGCTCTAATAGTGATTTAAAACCTGTTAATGGTTTAAGGAGAACTCTTGATGAGTCTCTTGATATTAAGTGTTTTTCTCTGGTAAACTTGGAACAATTATTTTCATGATATTGAACCCTGTTTTTTTTATTTAAGAGACGGCAACTTTTGCGCTGCTTTACAGTGATTATTAGCTTGTGTGCTGTCTTCATGGTGTTCTACAAGGATTTGAAGCAGTTCTTCCCAGGTTTCTTGGGTAGGTTGGGGAAGTGTTACGCGACGTTATCGTCTCGATCTACAACTCCCCTGTGCTCTACTCATGAATTATGTGAAGCCCCTGAGAGGAGGACCAGACTGTGAGTATAGGAACTTTCCGAAAACATTTTTGTTTAGTAAACTTTACCTTAAAATCTGTACTGTGTTCGCCATTTTTCTCGTCCGTTAAACCATATATTTTGATAAGAATGATGATGATGATGATGATAATGATGATGATGATGATGATGATGATCATGATGATCATGATGAGCATGATGATGATGATGATGATGATGATGATGATGCTGATGATGATGATGATGATGATGATGATGATGATGATGATTAAAACAGCTGCTGGTATCAGATTACACGAAGAGATAGTCAGAGACAGATAGCAATATATGGACCCCTGGACAGATGCAAATACCCATTAGTAATATGATACAGCAAATTTTGAGGAACGACTCAATAACGCCTTACTGGTCTTTTCAGGATTCCTATCTTTCTGTTATACCTGGCCTTCAAGGTGCCTAAACCCACAGCCTGTAGGCCATCTCATGACGATATCTAGTAGTTTATGTACCTGACACCTAGTCTATATTCTGTACAACACCTAGTCTATATTCTGTACATGACGAGATAATAGTAGTGTATGTACCTGACCTTGGTCTCTATCCTGTACAAAACGTGATATAGCTGTGTATGTACCTGACACTTGGTTTCCAGCGAAAGGGAAAAATTGGTTCGCAAAAATTTCGTATTTTTCATGAAATTTTTTTTTTTGCGACCATTTTGCTTTCTTTTTGCATATCGTTTGCTCATAAAAAATGCAAAATTTTTGTTTATTTGCAAAATTTCTCTTCAATCTGTTCCGTGAAAATTTTGCTAAAAAATGATGCAAAAATTTGTCGAAAATGATAATGCGAAAATTTTGTGAAGAAATATATAATGCAAAAATTTTGTGAAAAAACGCGAAAATTTCTCAAAAATGGAAATTATGCAAAAAAAACGAAAATTTATCGAAAAATAAATAAAACATTTATTAAAGTAAAGGAAGGGAATTTATTCATATGACATAATAAAACTTCAAATATTGATCAATCAGAGCAGTTCCACAAGTTCTTTTGACCAATTAATTGTTGCAGCCATAAACTCATGGTTTTCACAAAATTTACGCATTTCGCATTTTAGCGAGAAAAAAATTTCACAAAATTTTGCTTCGTTTTTGCTTCATTTATTTTCGCGAAAAAGTTTCGCATTTTTGTGAAACCTTTCGTTCGCTGGAAACCCTAATCTCTAAACTGTACATAACAAGATATATTAGTTTATGTACCTGACACTTAGTCTCTATCCTGTACATAACAAGGTCTAGTAATTTATGTACAGCTTTGCCAACCCCCTCTCCGGTTGCAGCTGATGTTTCTATATACTCAACTCCAAGTTCAGCAGCTAGTTCCTGAACAAGAATACCATAAGAACCAGAAAATATGGAATAGTTAGACAACATTAAATCATCAATGTAAACAGTAAAGAATTGCTGTGTCTAATGTTTATTGGACTATTTAAGGTCATAGTTTGTGTTCTGCATCATATCAACATTCTGAGATGAAGATCTTTATTCTTCATCACTGGTAGTCCTGGAGTCCTGGGAAAGCATAATTAATTCTTTTACTCTCAGATACTTTATAAATTGTTTTCGTTGATCTGGCATAGACCAGTTTTGTTATCAATACCAAATCTGATAAATCTATTGAGAGGAAGCTTCATTGAGTTGTATTCCTTATATCTTCAGAGAAAGAAACTATGACCTTCCCAGTAGTTCTAAAATCCATACCAACAATTAAACCTGGGTGAGCCGTTACCATTACCTGCAGCACAGCTTGAGTCTAAAGTCGTTTTCCTGTAGATGGGGGGAGGGTAGGCCGTAGGGGGACTTTTTAAATCAAAGTTAGACACCTACTGCTAAGTTTATATCCTTTTTATACTATATACCCAAATATTATTTTATTGTCCCCCAATTAAGAGGTGGAAATCCTAAAACTTTTAAAGGATTTTTAAAAGATTTTTATGAACACATACACCTCTGCGTATTTTATTAAGCATTAAGATAAAAAACGAAATCTTTAATTAATTTTGAAACTTCCACAGTGCAGTGAATAATGGAGAAAATACACTGTTTTCAGAAAAATTCATTTTAAAGAACTCCATTTGCAGTTTGTTATTAATAAACACTAATTTCAAATTATAAATGTAAATTACCAACGCCTTTTCTCTAGTTACTACTCTTAAGTCATCCAGGTCAACCTTAATATTAATTATTAAACTTTTATTATTGGCATCATTTTCTTTATATTAACACAATAGGTGTATTGTTTATACATCCTGTTTTAAAGCTTGCTATAAATCAAAATCAAAACTGGACTTCATTGTGTTGGTAAATATGACGGCTTATTATTATTATTAGAATTATTATTATTATTATCATTATGATTATTATTAATAATAATATTGTTATAGTTAATGATATAAACTCAGTACTTTACCTTGTTTCCACAAAGAACAATGTCAGGTGTTGAAGTATAAGAGTGAATGGAGAGCTGCTCAACCCAATCTCTTTAACATTTAATGTCAAAATCAAGGTATGCCAAGGTCAAGATTGAAGATTCAGAATGTAAATCGGTGCCAAGTATCAGGGTCAAGTATCAGTCCAGACAAAAGTAAATATTTTGGTGAAAACTTAGCTAAAAGCCTTGGTCAAGATCTAAATCAAGGTCATGCAATATCAAGAAGTAACTAAGTCGGTGTCCTGCTTGGAGATGGGGGCGTAGTCAGGAATTTGTGCAGAGGAGGCTTAATTTTCTTTCCGGGGGGGG